AATAAGAGGAGGAAAGCTATTCAAACAATAAGAAAAGCATAGCCCATTAAAGCAGTAGCATGATCAGTGCAAAGGAGATGGCTAAACTTGAGCCCTTCACTTTGGGGGAAAAAAAAACATCATATTTCAGAAAAGCCACAGTTTAGAGTCAGCTGGACTCAGTGTCAAATTCCAGCTGTGTGACTACAGGCAACTAACGTAAGTTTTCTGAGCTGGGCTCATTTCCTGGTTAAAGTGACCGATATGTGAATATTAAATTGAGAAGCATAAAGAAGCAGTCCAATGCCAGGCAAAAAATAAGTGCTCCAGAAACACTTGTCCCTTATCCAGAAACACTTGTGGAACTGAATTCTTCTTAAGAGCTTTTTTGTTGGTGTTGTTGGTTGTGGGGCTTGAACTTGGGGCCTGAGTACTGTCCCTGGACTCTTTTGTTCAAGGTTAGTGCTCTATCACATTGAGCCACAGCACCACTTCTGGTTTTTGGTGGATCATTGGATATAAGAATCTCATAGGCTTTCCTGGCTGGGCTGACTTTGAACTACAATTCTCAGATCTCAGCCTCCTGCATAGCTAGGATTACAGGCATGAGCCACCAGCACTTGGCTCATAAGAGCTTTTTAAAAACATTTCAAATTCTGGGAGCTGGTGGCTTATCCCTGTAATCTTAGCTACTCAGTCAGGAGGCTGAGAGCTGAAGATGGTGGTTTGAAGCTAGCCTGGGAAGGAAACTCCATAAGGTTGTTAATTCCAATTAAGCACCAAAAGAGCCAGGAGTGGAACTGTGGTTCAAGTGGTAGAGTGCTAACCTTGAGCAAAAGAAAACTCCAAAGACTGGGCCCAGTCCCTGAGTTCAAGCCTCAGGACTAGCACAAAAAATAAAACAACACAGAACACCTCAACCATCCCAGTTGCCTAAAATATCACCCACCAAATAAGAGAGAAAGGAAAGATGTTTAGGGAAAGCAGGGTACAGCGTTGGGGTTAGTAGGCATGGAAGCATTTGGGTTCTTCTCATCTCTAAATATTCAGTGCCCAGATTGTATCCCACGGGAGGCAAGAAGCATTAGCAAGGAATTAGACAAGATGGGCTAGAAAACTTAATTCCCAAAGATGGGTGTTTCATACATTGAACCCCCAGTCCCCAACTTGTGAACATATTTGGAGACGAAGTCGTGTGTGTGTGTGTGTGTGTGTGTGTGTGTGTGTGTGTGTGTGTGTGGTAGGGGGGAGTTCTTGAACTTGAACTCAGGGCCTGTGCACTGCCCCTGAGCTTTTTCTCTCAAGACTAGTGCTCTACCATTTGAGCCACAGCTCCACTTTGGCTTTTTGGGGGGTTGGGTGTTAATTGGAGATAAGAGTCACATAGACTTTTCTGCCTGGCTTGGCTTTGAACCACCATCCTCAGATCTTAGCCTCCTGAGTAGCTAGGATTCCAACCTTGAGCTGCTGATATCTAGCATGCAGACTAGTCTGACCCATGTCCTTCAAAAGGGATGGTTTGGATACGGAATAACAGTAAGATCTAAGCACATGAACAACAGACCATAGAAGGACACAGCAAGCAAGGTAGCAGTCTCCCTTCAAGCCCAGGGAGAAGAGAGATGCCTCTGGGGAAATCAAGCCTGCCTGTGCGTTTACTGAGTTCATTTCCATTATTTAAGCTGCTTCATTATGACAGCTTGGACAAAGCAGAGTACCAGGGATTCGGTAAGTTCATCCTCATGTCCTGCTGGCTGGGAGTATGATGCCAGAAGTCTGTTCCTCTGGACCTCATTTCCCCTAGTCAGCTGGGAGCATGGAAGTTTGCTCAGAAGAAGGCAGCTGGATTTCCGTGGGGCCCTGGGTGGGGATGGCGTGGAGAATAGTGTCAGTTGTGATTGTTGGAGATAGATCCATTGGCAGGGAGCAGAGTCCCTGTGGTTCTGTCGCCTCTTTACCCATCAGGAGCTGTTTTCTGCTCTGCTTCATTTGGTGGAACTTGCCGAGGTAACCTAGTCCAGTTCCCTTTGCCTCCCTGGAGCCCCTTCTGTACACTTTGGTTGCCTAGCAACCACCTCATCCATTCATTGTGGCTCAGGTCCCACACGGACAGGCCTTCCTCCCAGCTCTGCGAACACTGGACTGGCCAGGGACATGGCTGGGTTGTTGCAGGCCACATGCTTCTCCGCCAGGCTGGCTCAGCTGTGAGAAGATGGGTGCTGCATGGCACCATCTCCCCGGAACTCTGCCCCTCAGGCTGGCTGACTCAGGCCCATCTATGTTTTCCAGAGCTGTGTGCTGTAAAAACCACATGCTCAGTTGGCTCGGGCCAGTGCTTGTAGTTGATGGTTTCTGCAGAGATGCCAAAAACAGATGAGGATGTTTCAAAACAATTCATAAAATTGGCAACGACACTGCCAGTGCATAGTGGATCTGTCCTGGGCACTTTGTAGACGTTTACATGGGTATTTTGCCAGGCCTACAGGCTGGGAAAGCTGGGAACTGGGTCATAGAGAAAGTTGCGATGGATGAAAGAGCAGAGGGCCAAAGTATGGTAGGCTCCTACCAGCCCGGGATATCCCCAAGATGTCTTAGGTCAACTCATCCCGCACACATGGCTGCTTGGAGCTTTCTCTGCTTAGCCACCAGCTCTCTGACTACATGGACCATGTCAGCCCCCTCATGCCTGCCCTCACCCTGACCTGCTCTCCACCGCCCCCTTCCAGTCCACGTGCTACAGGGCCTAACTAGGCTCCAGAAAGATGGGAGCTAAGTGGGGGTGTTCTCTAACCTTTGTGGGGATCCTGGAGTTTTGTTTTTAAAGATGATGTACAGAGGGGTTACAGTTACCAAGTAAGGAGTTACTGTTGAATAGATAAATGAATTTGAAGTCTAGGACTTGGATAACCATTTTCTTATTCATATCAAATAGAGATTTCTTTTTTTACCCATTCTGCCTTTTAAAGATTTGGTCTGTGTGGATGGAATATTCTTTGTCCTGTGAGATGTAGACACTGAGGCCAGTGTGGTGTCTGGGAGTTCTGTTGCTTTCTCTGACAGGTGGGTGGCATGGATGGAATGGAGAGAAGAGAATTTATTAGCGAGGGTTCTTTCTTATTTGGATAGGTGATGCAGGAAAGTTGAACTGATTAAGTAGCCCTCTAAAACATTTTACCTTGTTTATTATGAGAACTAAGTATTCATTTGAAGGTAATTTGGATAATGAAGAAAGGCAAAAGAAAAGATGTACCCAATATTCAATCTTCCCAGCACATTTTCCCACATTCCTAAATATTCATCAACTGCAGAATTCTTGATGCTTGCCAGATAATCTTTCAAAGATGTGCATTCTGGCACATCTGCTGGTGGCTCATGTCTGTAATCCTAGCTACTCAGGAGGCTGAGAGCTGAGGATCGTGGTTCAAAGCCAGCCCGGGGCAAGAAGACCCGTGAGACTCCAATTAACCACCAGAAAACTGGAAGTGGTGCTGTGGCTCAAGTGGTAGAGCACTAGCCTTGAGCTGAAGAGCTCAGGGACAGCACCCAGGCCCTGAATTTAAAAAAAAGAAAAAAGATGTGCATTCTCTCATTTATTTATGTATTTTATTTTGGCTATTGTCAAGTTTTTCACTATCAAAAATGTTAAAATTACCATTGCTTATATAGACATAAATCATTGTGTACCTATGTGCATAATTTACAAATGTGAATGACTGGATAGAAGAAATCCATAAGAATACTTTCTAGCTTGAGATCACTATTCTCTAATAACTGTCTAGAAAAGCAACAGCACATCCATCCACCTCCCAGTGCCCTGATCAGCTTTAGGAATTACAGAATGCATATGTGTGTGTCTACACCGCCATGCCCAGGAGCATATTCATGGACAGGTATTCCATTGTCTTCATTTGCATTTCTAGTATGAAAATCATTCCTATCAATATTTTCTTCTTAGCTTCTGGCACCTCTTTTCTGTGAATTTCTGAGTGACTTTGCCACTTTCTATAGGTCCACTTCTCTTTTTCCTCTTTGTATATATCTAAACTTTCTAAGCACATTAGCTTTGTTTTTTTTTTTTTCTTCTGTATGCAAATAGGAACCATCATAGAGCCCATTTTGAATTACTACAAGTTCAAAAGGAATTTAAAGAAAACACGTGAGATAGAATAATGTGGTTAACTTACGCTCTAATTATGAGGCCAGCTACTTTCTCCCCTTGAAAGTTTTGCCACACCCACTGTGAACTGGAAGTATGTATATGTTTGTATATGCATGTGTATTAGAGAGAGAGAGAGAGAGAGAGAGTGTGTATGTGTGTGTGTGTGTGTGTGTGTGTGTGTGAGAGAGAAAGAGAGAGAGAGAGAGAATGGTTTATGTGTGTGTTGGGGGAGTCTGGACTTAGAGGGACCTGATTTAGTCTTAGCTCTGTCACTCTAACTGGGACACGTAGTATGAAGCATGTAGCTTCTATGTTTGCTTTGAGAAGAACATAGCTTTAAGTAGGATATGGTACAGATGTATAGGCTATAAATGTTTATTCCCTTTCCTTATCCTTCAGAGACTTTCTATTTTCTGTTTACCCCATATATGTTTTATTTAAATAAGGACCGTGTATGTCTCAGTAATTCATATTTTCTGAATAGGTAACTCTAAGGAAGATACAAATAAATAAAAATTCTTAGCTGTTAGCGTTTCTATTTCTTCCAGAGGTGTAGGGAACAAACCCAGAGTCTTACCTTTGCTGAGCATGTGCACTCCCACTGAACTCCATCCCCACTCCCTGTTAACTATTTATGTGAGCCTGAAAGAGTTTGACTTTTCAAGCTCAAGTATGGTACTTGCAAATTGGGCACATTCTGTATAGAAGACCATATAAGCTGTGTCAGTGTGCAGAAAGAAGGATTGGAGAGTCTGAAATATTGAAGACTATGTTGATTTGAAATGGCTTCAGATAGTGCCTTTAAATGTTTGCACATTCGTTGAGAAGTTATGTCTCAGTCTGTTGTTTCTTTCCACTTTAGGTGTGGCTGGATCTCCTGAAACCTATTGTGAAACAGATTCGAAGTAAGTATAACCTGGTAAATACACATGCCAACGCCTGCTTCCACTGTTGAGATGACTTTTTGTCTTGTAGCCATGTAAATTCATTTTTTTAATCTCTTGATTGCTTGCCATTGTTCACTAACCCACATACTATAAAAAATGTGTCTTCTACAATTTTAATATCTCAAATTTGCTAATCAAAACCTTGCTTGGAGAAAGAAGAATCATTTTGATTGACTAAAGCTGGCTATTAAGCCAGAAATAATAGAGCTTGTCTCCTCTTCACGGATGTTTCTCCTGCCACTTTTGAAGACAGAGGGTGGAGCAATATAATCACAGAATTGATTGTAGCTTTACTTTTCCCCCTAAAGCCTGAAAGATCAGAATTTGAGTGCTGTTTGAAGAAAGGTGCTTGAACTCTGTGTGTATGTGTGTCTGTGTGTGTGTGTGTGTGTTGGTGATTGACAAGCAGGCTCTGATTGACAGGTGTTTCTCATGGACAAGTGGGTCCGGCTTACATGTGGACTGTGTGTTGGGAAGACAGATTGAAGAAAGAGAAGACACTTGCTTGGCTCTCCCCACATATGGTCCCTCTCTGTTTTGGGGGTCAGGATCTGTCCTCAGCCATCCCAAATGGCCCCTTCATGTACCCAGAGCTTGGGGAAATCAGGACAGTACCAGAGCTGGAGTTGAGTCTGAAATTCATAGTGCCATTGAACACTTTTTAATTGTTAAGAAATCTCTCTGGCTCATTTGCAAATATTTATAAGGGTGTAATCACTATGGGGCATGCTGTGTGTGGAGCTAGCCAAGTGCAAGTGACAATCTTCCATCATTCAAATGAAGCAGATATTGGTGCTGCAAATAAAAGGGTCTAAGGTAGCCGGTGCCGGTGGCTCACACCTGTAATCTTAAGCTACTTAGGAGGCTGAGATCTGAGGATCGAGGTTCAAAACCAGCCCGGGCAGAAAAGTCCATGAGACTCTCATCTCCAGTTAACCACCAGAAAACCAGAAGTGGCGCTGTGGCTCAAGTGTTAGAGCACTTGCCTTGAGCTAAAGAGCTGAGGGACAGCACACAGTACCCAAGCCCAGAGTTGAAGCCCCACAACCTACAAAAAAGAAAGAAGGAAAGGGCTTAGGTTGGTGTCTTGTATGCACCAGTTCTGGGACTTGAACCAGAGCCTGAGCTTTATTGCTGCAGGCTGGCACTCTACCACTTGAGCCACAGCTCCACTCATGGCTCTCCTGGCTGAGACAGTCTCACAAACTTCCCTGTTCCGGCTGGCTTTTTTTTTTGGGTCCGGTCGTAGGGCCTGAACTCTGGGCCTGGGTGCTGTCCCTCTGCTCTTCAGCTCAAGGCTAGCGCTCTACCACTTGAGCCACAGCGCCACTTCAGGTTTTTTTTTCCTGCTTATGTGGTGCTGAGGAATCGAACCCAGGGCCTCATGCATGCAAGGCAAGCACTCTACCACTGAGCCACCTTCCCAGCTCCGGCTGGCTTTGAACCATACTCTACCACCCCGCCCAGGAGCCTGGCATCTGACCCCGCGGTGACGCCTGAGGGGCCTGCGGTGGCCGGCAGTTACCAGAGCCCCCGGCCAGCCGCCGCCGCCACGCTCACCGTGACCCACAGCAGGAGGGCCACGACCAGCCTGTGGGTCAAACTGCTACTACTGTGTCTCCACCACGTGCACCTTTCTTGCTTCTGGTATCCACGGCTCCTCATACCCCCCTAAGCCCCGCCCTTGTTTCCAGTCTCCATGGATTCCTCCATACCCCTCTAAGCCCCTCCCTCTCTTCCGGTCTCCATGGATCCTCATGTCCCTCGTTTCCGGGTCTCTTTGGATCCCAGTACCCTTCTAAGCCACGCCCTCACTTCCAGTCTCCATGGATTCCCCCGTACCCTTCTAAGCCCCTCCCTCACTTCCGGTCTCCATGGATCCTCATACCCCCCCCAAACCCCTCCCTCGTTTCCGGTCTCCATGGATTCCCCCATACCCCTCGAAGCCCCGCCCTCACTTCCAGTCTCCATGGATCCCCCGGTACCCTTCTAAGCTCCTCCCTGGCTTCCGGTCTCCATGAATCCCCATACTCCTCTGGATCCCCAGACCCCTCTAACTCCCTCCTTTGCTTCCCATCTCCATGGATCTCAGAACCTCTCTAAGTCCCTCCCTTGCTTCTGCTCCTCTAAGCCCCTCCCCTGCTTCCAGTCTCCATGGATCCCAGCATCCCTCTAAGACCCTTCCTGAAGATGACTGAGATTAGGACTCCCCCCACCTGCCTCACTTTGCCCGGATGATTTCATGCTCTAGCACAGACCTGCTGGGGTTTCTGCTCATTGTTAAGTTTTTCAGGAAAAGCTTAGCCTGGCTCGGCTTAACTGTGTCCATACCTTGACTTTTCTCCAACCCATTCTCTCCTTATGATATACCTTATTTCTGTTTTTCCTAAATTCGAATGTGTGGTCTTCACAGATATTTTATGAAATCTACTTTTTGCATATGACAACACTTTATACTAAATATAACCCTTTTTTTCTTTTCTGGTTCTGGGGCTTGAACTCTGGGCCCAGGCCTATCCCTGAGCTTCTTTGTCTTCAGGCTAGTGCTGTACCACTTGAGCCACAGCATTGCTATTGGCTTTTTTGAGTAGTTTATTGGAGATAAGAGTCTGACAGACTTTCCTGCCTAGGCTGGCTTCATACTGTGATTCTCAGATCTCAGCCACCTGAGTAGCTAGGAGATTACAGGCATGAGCCACCAGCACCTGGCCTAAAATAACTTAAATTTGGGCTTCAGAGTGCTGGGGGCATAACTCATTAGTAGAACCCTTGCCTGTCATGGGCTGAGTTAAATCCTCTGTACCACAGAAAATGCATTTCATTACTATACTTTATAGTTCCTTGCTATCATTCCAGATCACAGTGTCTGTAAGTCCTGTAACCAGGTATGCAGCACATACTTGTAATCTCAGAACTAAGGGAAGGTGAGTTCAAGGCCAACTGTGGGCTACATAGTCAAATCCTGTCTCCAAAAAAAAAGAATGAGCCTGGTGCTGGTGGGTTCATGCCTGTAATCCTCACTACTCAGGAGGCAGAGATCTGAGGATTGCTATTCAAAGCCAGCCCAGGTAGGAAAGTCCAAGAGACTCTTATCTCCAATTAACCATCAAAAAGCTGAAGTGGAGCTGTGACTCAAGTGAATAGTAAAGCGCTATCCTTGAGTGAAAATGCTCAGGACCCGAGTTCAAGCCCTAGGACTGGGACCCTGAATTCAAGCCTAAGAACTGGGGACCCTCCTTACCCCCCAAAAAGAATCAATCAAAAAGGCTGTTTTTATATTGTCACTTGATAGATTAAAATACAAAAGTCACAAATTACGATCTGTTTGATGTTCTATTTTAATTCTCAAGTTCTCCATCTGATCATACCTCTACACCTACCACCTACTTCCTGGTTTTGTTTTAGCTGCTGGGAAGAATGGCTTCAGAGCTGTTCCAAAAGGCTCTGGCGAATATACCTGAGGCAGAACCCCGTCACCATGGTGTTAACACACCAGAGCCCAGGACAGTACCTGGGGCTGGCACCATGTGTGCCGGCCATGCTAACACCATTCCTTACAGTTAAGTATTAATTACAAAAGTGATGGACGTTTTCATCATGTTCAGCCTGTGTCATGGCAAGGCTATGTTTTCTGAAGACAAATAGCTGTTTTTAAAACTTGAATATAATTTAAGTCTCCACATTGTTTAGTTGTTCAGTATAACAGTGGTTTTGGAAAGCAGATTCCTGTTTATCCACGCTATGAATAAAGTGCTGACCGTGGCCTGGTGTTGATTAGGTTAGCCGCCGCAGGTATCCTCCAGGATTTCAGAATGAAATGAACTGTCTGACGGAGTAGACCTCATAAAGTCGTCTTTAGTATAGCATTTGAAACACAGATCCTTAAATGCCTTCTTGATGTTTGTGTTATTATTCTTCAGGGCCAAAGCATGTTGTTGTCAAGTTTGTGGTGAAATTCTTTCCACCTGACCACACACAACTCCAAGAAGAGCTCACAAGGTGAGTGGTTTGGGTACTGTGTATTTAAAAAAAAAAAGAGCTAAGGAAAAGAGAATGGGTTCTAAATGGATTAAGCATTTTCATAGTATGTTTTATGCTTTACAGTTTAAGCCCTTTTCTCCCATCTCTGCCTCTGAAAATAAGATGAAGGAAAGTGTCAGCTCTTCCTTATAGTCTGGTTTCTCTGAGGATCTGATTGTTTTTGGCAGCTGATGGCTCACACCTGTCATTCTAGTTACTCAGGAAGCTGAGATCTGAGGATCACAGTTCAAAGCCAGGCCAGGCAGGAAAGTCCATGAGATTTTTATCTCCACGTCAGCCCCAGAGAAACCAGAAATGGAGCTGGGGTTCAAATGGTAGAATGCTAGCCTTAACCAGAAAAAGCACAGGACAGCACCCAGACCTTGAATTCAAGCTCAGGACCAGTACACACACACAAAAGTGATTATTAGGGTAATATAGGAGTGAATATAATCAAAGTACGTGTGTGTGTGTGTGTGTGTGTGTGTGTGTGTGTGTGTGTGTAAATAGCATAAATGATCCCACTTAACACTGCTAAAAATGAGGGGGGGGAAGAAAAGTAGAAGAGCAATACAAAAATGGTGAATTTGATCCAATTCATGTGTATAAGTATCACAAGAAACCTGCAAAATTCATTCATGCAAGGAATTGTTTTGACAAAGACTTGGTTACAAAGCTCAGTGGGCTTTGCTAAAGTATTTCCCACGTTATGTTGTCCTATCCAGAGAGTTGTGGGAAGTGACTATCCTCTGTGAAACCTAGCTGTTGTTTTGGAATCTTTGTGGCTCCTGGCTGCGGAATTTGGCGTGAACTGTAATCAGTTTCTTTGAAAGTGTGGCCCAGGGAGGGAATGTAAGGGTGGACAGCTAGCTTCCGCCGCAGCCCTGCCCCCACTAGCTGGATGTGTGGTCAGTTCCTTGTCTCCTAGGTGACACTTGCATCCCCATAAGCATGATGGGACATGCTTGGCCACAGATGCTTTGGCAGGAGACACAATCATACATAGAGTAGCTAGGATCCTGTAGGGACAGCATGCTTAATCACATTGCCATCCTTACCTATCCTCCCCACCACGATCTTTGTCACCATCTCTTAGTCCTCATTTTATATATGAGACAAGACAGGCGGCATTCCAAGAGACAGCAGAGCTAGCAGCAAGCATATAGGTAAGCCTCCCAAGTATATCTTATAAATGATAACTTGTGTCCCCTTCCACCTATGGCTTATTAATACCAAGAACAGCCTGGTGTGGTAGATCATCCCTGTAACCCCAGCTAGAGGTGGAAGGCAAGAGTTTGTGAGACCCCATTTAATCAGCAAGCCAGAGCATAGTGGAATACATCTTCATTTCTAGCTATTTTGGAGAAAGACTATAGACCAAAAACAAAGCAAAAATCCCTCAAGACCCCATCTTAAAAAAGTAAATAAATAAAAGTTAAAAAAACAAACAAACATGGATCAAGGAGTAGAATTCCTGCCTTGCAGACATGTGGCCCTGAGTTTGAACTCCAGCACATCATCAAAAAGAAAAAGGCCAAGGTCATCTATTTTGCTCCTTCCTCCAATATAGATCTTGGTAGTTGGCTTTCAGGTATCAAAGGGATAAAGATGTTTGTTTCGTGACCAGCATTCACTGAGAGAATGCCCTGTGCACAGGCATTAGTTAGGCCCTGGGATGGAAAGGTCAGACTTGACTTTCAAGGAAACAAAACATTTAAGCAAAAAGGAAAGAGCTTTCTGGCAACCAAAGCAGCATGGTGTGGTAGAAATTAATGGCTGGTGACATTCGGTCACTGGGTCTGAGATGCCTCTCGAGGAGGTGCTGAGGACCTGCCAATCATTTTCTGAAGAGGAAACCTCAGGGAGAAGGAGCAGTTAGTACAGTGTCTCAGCAGGAACAAGTACCATCCATTCCAGTAATTAAGGAAGGAGTGAGGACCTAGGACAGTGTGGTAGGTGCCCTCAACCTACCTCCATGAAGATGCTGGAGCTGGAATGAGTGTCAGGGTCATTGAGGAAGAGATGACTTAGTGCTCACAGAGCTGATGGCAGCAAAGAAGGTGGAGGCAGTCAGAATGGCTGGTGCATTTGTCTTTTGGGTTTGTCATGGACACAGGGCCCTGTCTTGGAGGTAAAATCCCTGCAGAGCAGCGGGGGCACCGAGAGGGTGGACTTATTGCCTCGGTGGTGGTATGGATGGCTAAAAGCCATACCACAGGGTGGAGAGAAATAGATTGGAGGGGTGAGGAGTTAGGGTTAGTTCCAGTCACATGACTCTAAGGTGCCAGTCGGCTCTCATTGGCTGTTCCCAGAAGGCCAGCTGATTTACCAGTGTGCACTCCACAGGGAGGGGAGGACGAGGCTCTTCCCACTGCAGGGACTTTTCTGAATGAGCCACCACTAATGTCTACTTTCCTCAACCTGCAAATCACTGAAGGAAGCAAAGGCAGCCAGAAACTGGCAGAAGCCATTGGCCTTCTGGGAACTGCTTGCAGCCTGTCGAGAAACAGCAGCCAGATCTGTAGAGCCTCAGGCCCAGTGACAGATAGCTTTGGTGTGGTGTCTTCCAGGGACCCCTGTGGACCGCACTCACACCTCCCCCCCCCCTTCTGAGTTGGGCATGTGCTTTGCTTTTCTGCCAATCAGTCACTGCATGTCTTTCCTGCTTAAGAAGTTAGAGGCGGGAACCCTTTGGGTGGGGAAAAAGGGACATTATTTTGCTACAGAAGATTCTGCTTTGCAAATTACTTTGCATCTTTTCAGTTTTTGTGGATCATTATCTCTAGAGCTTTGCTGTTTTACTGTAAAACTAGCTGTATGTAACTTGTTACCATCAAACCAAGTGAGCCTGTTGGAGTTTTTTTCCCCCATAACTTCTCTGTAAGTAGTGGAAAGTGCCTAATGTTAAACTCATAGATGAGGAACTGTTGGGAAAGTGTGGACAGAGGTGGTGAGTTTATTTATTTAGTTCTTATTGTGCACTGTTATTGTAGAAACCTCTTCCAAGAAGAATCTTTTGCTTCAGTATTGAATAAAATGGATAGGAGGTTTCTACTGTGTTTGTCAGCTTCCATCACTGTCCGTTCATCACAAGACACGCCGTCTCAGGATCCTTGTGCATCCTGTGTAGTAAAACTCCCATGTTCTCAAGTCCTGCGGAGGCAGAAATGTCCTGCTGAGACCTCAGGCACTTTGGGGGTGTCAGGAGAGACTGTCTGCAGTGCTTGGAGGCTGGACACAATCATGGAGCATAAGTCATTCCCAGATCTACTGTTTACTCTTTGCACTTCCAGAAATAGTCTTCAACTTCCCATGAAGTCATATGAGGTTTTGCACACTGCCATTCAGCAAGCAGCTGAATTCCTTTCTTACTGACCTGTATTTTCAACCACCTCCATTGAGTGGACATCAGGATCCAGGCTTCCATAAGGAGAAAAGTTCTCATTTGGGTGCAGGTTGAAAACAAGGCCTGTGGCCATGGATGGAAAAAGACGTCCCCTAGATCCTCGTAGCCTGGCAAGGAAATTGTAAATTACTTACAATTAATGAGAAAATAATGATGATTGGAACCCATGGGATTAAATCGATAGGTTATAAGCAGGGTGACATGGGACTTACACTCCCTCAAGCCAAACCCCTTGGTCGCTCCAGTTCCCCGTCTTGACCAGCATTAATTCCTCTATTTTTTTTTTTTTTTTAAGTTAGCATGTTACCTGTACAATGTGGGGGAAGGGGGGGAATTGTGACACTTCCGCACACACGTAGAATGCATTCCGCTCGATCTCCTCTCCCCTTCGCTCTCCCTCAGCCTTCCCTCCTTCCTAAAACCATTTCATCGGATTTTGTCATTCTAGTTCCATATGCGGCATGATTCTGGTATGAGTGTATTGCATTTTCCACTGGTGTCCACATGTCCACTGGTGTCTGAGCACCAGTGGCTCTTGTGCATTTGACTGGAGTCATTCCGTTTTTAGCACCGAAAGTGTCACTGAGTCTGAAGTCAGCATTGCAGCAGCGTGCTCAGCTTACAGCTCCTGTCACTAAGAAAGGTGACAGCATCAGCACTGGGAAGGGGCCTCTCCTGTTACCCCAGCCTGAGAATAGGGGGCAGCTGCAGAGGCAGAGGGTGACAGGTTCTCCTTCTGGTCTTTGTGTAATGCTATCAGAGCTCTGTAGCACCTGGCATTCCCCCTCCAGGAGATTCTGCCACATGCCCCCAGCCTGTCACACCTGATCACAGATCTGTCCCTGAGCACTTCTTTGTGAGCACATGGCTCTGTGTTTGAGCTGGTTGAAAAAGGACCACTGACCTAGGTCAGAATTAAAGCCTATAGCTGGTGAAGTGTGGGGTTTGGTGGACAGTTACCATGATCTGATCCAGAAAAAGGTGGTTTGTGGTGTGCATCCACAGGAGCCCAGGTGGACACATGGACAGTGTCCCCTCTCCAGTTCGTTTCCTTGACTTGATTGACAGAGAGGGTGAGGAGGCAGGCCTGGTAGCATGATGCAAGGCACACATGGAGGAGCGTGTGGAAGGTTTGCTGCTGTGGCCTGTTAGATCTGAAGTGGGTTCTGTTTTAAGTTTTTATTTGCTGGTTATATGCACAATTGCCACTGTATTTTTTAGTTCTTAAAAATTCAACTTCCAAAATGACTTCAAAGGAATTAATCTTTTATTTTTACCTCACTATGGGTATGGGGCCCTCAGTTCAAGCCCCAGTAGTGTCAGGAGTGATGCTTGAACCTCAGGGTCTCTCTTAGCTTTTTTGCTCAAGGCTGGTATTCTACCACTTGAGGCACACCTCCACTTCCCGCTGTTCTAGTGGTTAATTAAAAATAAGAGTCTCTATGTTTTGTCTTCCCAGGCTAGTCACAAAGCATGATCCTCGGCTGGGTGCTAGTGGCTCATAACTGTAACCTTAAAGAAGACTGAGATCTGAGGATTGCAGTTTGAAGCCAGCCTGGGCAGAAAAGTCCCTGTGAGACTTATATCTCCAATTAACCACTCAAAAACTGGAAAGTAGAGCTGTGGCTTAAAGTGGTAGAGCACTAGCCTTGAGCAAAAAGTACTCAGGGACAGCGCTCAGGCCCTGAGTTCAAGGCCCACATCTGACCAAAAAAAAGCAAGCATTATCCTTACATCTCAGCCTCCTGAGTATCTAGGATTGCAGGTGTGAGCCACTGCTTCTGGCTGGGCATTTTTTAAAAGAATTATTAATTTACTTTATTGTTATTATAGAGGTAATGTACAGAGGGATTACATGAGTCAGGTGATGAGTACATTTCTGTTCCCTCTGGTCTTCTGTTCCCTCATTCTCTCTGGCTGGGCTTTTTTAAGTTAGAATGTTACCTTCTTTTTTGCTTCATGATACTGTTGAGTACTACAATATATCATGCCACCTAGGTTTGTTGAATTGCCTCCTCATAGTACTATTTAGCTTATTCTTCTAACCTGTCTTATTTTCTTGAAAACTGAGCTTTTCTCAAGATGGATACAAGTAAACATTTTGGATGGGAGTCCATCACAGGTGATGCTGTGGGTTTCGTGTTTTATTTGCAGTGCTGGGATTGTCCATTGGCTTATGATGGTGACATCTTTCCATTAGAAGGAAAATTATATGAGTTCCACTGTGTGTGGACACTCAATCTCCTAAATGATTTTTATGTCCATTGATACCGTGTGCCAGAGTCAGTGATATCTTCCAGAGGTTGTGGAGTGAAGACTTCTGGTTACTCCTGCTGTGTTGTGAACTGGAGTTTTCTAGTGGGCGCTCTGGCTGCCCTAAAGCCCCCTCCTCCTGAGAGGCTGTCAGCTGTGCTCGGCCTGCAGTGGCCTCTCGTGGAACCAGGAGCTGCTTTAATAGCAGCTCCCTGAGTGGTGATAACATTGGATTTTTTTTCTGCCTTCTCCTTTTATGAGCATCGTTATGGACTTAGGAAAGTTTGTAAATTGCGTTTCAGTTCATGTCAATCCTCTGGTTGCTGTTCAGGTTCTCCCAGCATTGGCAAGTAGAGGCCCTTTCCAGAAGATTCTTTTGCCTTTTTCTGGTTGATTCATGACAAGGGAAGGGAAGAGGAGGAGAGTGGAGGGAAAGGAAGGAAAGGGAGAGGAAAGGGGTAGAATAAGAAAGAAGAGAGCACAGGGAAGAAGGGAAGAGAAGGAAAGGATGTGAGGAGGAAGAAGGGAAAAGGAAAAAAAGACCAGAGAAGAAAAGGGAAGGAAGAAAGGAAGGGAGGGGAGGAAGGGAGGAGGGTAAGCTCAGAATTTCTGGTTTATCTAAGAAACAGACAGCTCTTGAAAATGGGTAAGATTGAAGGGCAGAACCTTGTTGCTATGGGCAGCCACAGAAGCGTTTGCAGGCGGTGCACAGAACTAGGGCCTGCCCTTCTAAAAATACATGAGCTCGTAGAGATATTTTCAAACCCACTTTCATACCCCCACAGTTTTACTTAATTTCTTCGATGTATAAATACATCTTTTGTACCAAAGTGGAGATTTGCTTTATCCAACACCATGTAGAAAAGCATTTAAACAGAACTCAAGGTGAGTTTTACAGCCGGTAGGTGAGGCAGATGGAGATGGCTGCGTGGGTAGTAATTACACCGTGGAAGATGGCTGGCCTGTCCCATGCACCACAGGAGCTCCTGACCGCACTGTTGTCATTGGCTGAGCCGCGAAACCAGCGTTAACCGATCATTCAGTTCAAATCATTCAGTATTTAACTGATCATTCTGCAAGCATTTTAAATGTTACAAACACACACACATGCAGGCTATAGGTTATAGTTTCACATTTTATTGTACAAATGGGTTTCATTATAATATTTACACATATGCCTATAAGGTACTTTGATCAAATTCACCCTTTCTATAATACTCTTCCTTAACTCCCTCTGTCCTCTTCCCTTCTCTTTTAAGAGTATTTGTGTGTGTCTGTGTGTTTGTACTTCTGTAATAGTCACATCCCTTTGCCACCCCTTTGCCCCCTGCCACTCCCCACACTGGTTTTTCCCTAAACAGTCTTGACATTTTCTTTTTGCCTCTCTGTACAGAATGAAGCACAGTATGCTCTATGTGAGGAGTGAGTGACAGCCTGTGTGCCCCTCTTTGTATTTTTTGCGGAGGGGGTTGTGACCCTGCAGTGACTGGCACAGCCTCCCGTCCAGGTCCTCACAGTGTACGTTGGCTACCCCCCTCGAGTGACACCTGTCTCTGTTGACCTTTGCAGGTACCTGTTTGCTCTGCAGGTGAAGCAGGACTTGGCTCAGGGCAGGCTGACGTGTAACGACACCAGTGCTGCTCTCCTGATCTCACACATTGTGCAGTGTAAGTTCTGCTGATCTCCTTCCAAAACACCCGGATGATCTGATTGAGGGGAGGAGGGGAGTGGACGGGATTCCCCACCTTCCTCCCCACACACACAATAGCTCACCAAATAACCACAGAATGGCTTTGTTAGTCAGGTGCTGGTGCCTCACACCTGCAATCCTAGCTACTCAGGAGGCTGAGATCTGAGGGTTGAGGTCTGAAGTCATTCTGGACAGAAAAGTCTATGAAACTCTTCTCTTAACCCCCCAAAAGTAGAGGTATGAAGTGGTAGAGTGCCAGCTTTGAGTGGAAACAGCCAAGCAAGAGTTCAGGGTCCTGAATTCAAGCCTCAGCAGTGGAACCAAAAAAAAAAAAAAATAGCTTTTTGCTAGCTTTTGTTAGCTATGCCTAGAAGATAGTTGTCCAAACTCATTTTCATATGCAGAGCTCCAAACATCAGCTTAGAACTTCTGTGCTTATTATGAACATGCATTTGAGATCTCAGTGGCCAAATAGAACAAACTGCTTCTGTCTTGTCCTTGATTTTATCTTCATTATCAAACATGGCCCATGAGGACGTAAAACAACTACAGGTTTCATTTCTCCCTCAAGTTGTTTCCCATAGCAGAGTGCTTAGGAATCAGAAGGGTTGGCTAGTCCTACGCTATGCTGGAATGCCTCTTTTCTGTTTAGTTACGGTAAAGGGTACTTCAGTAAATCCAATGTGAATCCAATGTGAAGAAACCTGAACATAGCTGACTGCATTAGCTCACGCTCTTAGTTATTCAGGAGGCTGAGATCTGAAGAGTGTAGTCAAAGGCAGCCCAGGCAAGATAGTTTGTGAAACTATCTCCACTTACTACCAAAAAGCCAGAGGAGGAGGTGTGGCTCAAGTGGTAGAGTACACACACACATGCACATGTGCACGTGCACGCACGCGCGCACACACACACACACACACAGAAGCCTGCACATAAAGCCACAAAAAACTTCATCGCTTTCAGATTCTGTAATTACCAAATCAACCACTCATATGTGCCCCCCAAAACAGTCTCTGTGCCCTTCTGTGGTCATTTGCAGACATACTTGATGGTGACCTATGAGTCCATGTGTCACACATTTCCCACAGGGCACAGGTTTGCCTTCACATTTCTGCTCTCATCTTGTTAGCGTTCCTTTCTGTAGACTATTTACTGCCATGCCTTCTGAATTTTTGTGTTGTTATTGGTGATTGAACTGTTTAAATTGGCCCCTAAGCACCATGCTCAAGTGTCGTCTAGTGTCCCTAAGCGTGGTTTTATGAGCCTTTTATGGAGAAAATGTATGTGGTGGATGAGCTTCGTTCAAGCATGAGTTAGCTCTGCCATTGGCCGAGTTCAGTGTGAATGGCTCAGTAATGCATGCTCTGCAAGATGGTTGTCTTTCAGCTGAAACACACACAGACAGCAGTTCATGAAAGTGCCTTCAAGAGTTTTACACTAATCTAACCCTGATTTCCCTCTGGAAGCAACAATTGAGTCATCACTAAGTTGTGACTCTAAATCATAACAAGAACCCACTGTATTTTCTTGAGACCAATTGGCGTTGCAGAAAGATCAGAGCTGCCATTGTTAAAGCAACTGATACCTCTGGCTATCCGCCCAGGAGGCCCCTTGCTTCTGACTGCCTTCCAGGATGGAGGGCATCCATTTTACTGTCATCAGGAAAGGACAATGTCTTCTAAAAAATGAGGGCGTGTTCCTAACACTAATGGCACTAGTTAGTGGTCACGACAGGAGGAAGCTGTTCGTGAGGGAGGATTTTGTCCATGGCCCACACGTATGCCAGGTGGGCTGGCACTGCCTTGGGCAGAGCAGGTGTTCTGCATGGGTGTGGGGAATGGCTGCTCAGAAGTCACACCCTGTCTGAGATGCAAAGTGCGTGGCCAGTGCGATGGACTGCTTCTCGTGCCAAAGGGAAATGGAGTTTTCATAGCCACCACTCACTGGCTTTTTGCCAGAACAGCTGGATTCTGGTCATTAGGCTGTGGTCATTAGGCTCCTTTTTATTAAGCTTGTTCACATGTGAAGGAAGAGGCGTGTTTTCCCCAGAGCTCTCCCTGTCGCTATTAACTCAGCTCTAGTCAGTGCTGTTCAGCTAAGGCCAGTTATTAGTTTAAAGCTCTGTGCTTTCAATTTGCACGTGACATCAATTTTGAGAAGTGTCTTGAGGCTTGGTGAGACAGCGTATCAGATTTCATGTGGATGAAAAAATGTATGGTTTTTGCCTTGTGACCTATGATTTCTGACCACAAGGGTATAAATTGTTTAACAAGCATCCGATTAAAACCCATCCGATTCTCTAGTTGATTTTGTGAAGTCCTGACAATCCAGAGTCTGGTTAAAAGTTAAGGGCAACCATCCACATGCGCAGCATTTACTGCCAAGAAGAGAAGTGACCTTAAGGCAGGAGGGAGGAAAGAAAAGAGGGCTGACATTTAATGTACTATAGCACAGTTGGATAACTACGGCTGGTAACAGTTTATTAAATATTTGGAAGTTGCTGTTAGAGGGAACTTTGAAAGCTCTCTGCACAGAGAAAGTGATGGATTTGCCAATTGTGCTGGTCCGATCATCACACATAATGGTCTCGTATTGAAATGCCATACTGCACTATTAAAATGTGTAATTACTATGTGGACATCAAAGAATACATATTCAAAAATGAAACGATACAAACAGAAAGAAATTAAAAGGATGCATGACTGAAGACACATCTTTCTACGGTTTTCCTTGCATCTGTTAACGATGAGTAGATATCATCGTTTAGGTTGACAGATTCATTGTGGAATCTGCCCTTGTTCCCCCACTATGTCAAGGCCTTCAGATTGTCCCTACCAGCGGGGCTTACCTGATACTATATTCTTGCTTCCAGTTCACCAGCTGGGCTTACCTGATACTATATGCTCACTTCCGGCTTGCTAGCTAGGGGATTTAACACATTATGAAGAATTCATCCTGTGTGGTTTATTTTTCTTTCTCTTCTTTCTTTGCAGCTGAGATTGGAGACTTTGATGAAGCTTTGGACAGAGAGCACTTAGCAAAAAATAAGTACATACCTCAGCAAGATGCATTAGAAGACAAGATTGTGGAATTTCACCATAACCACATGTAAGTCCCATGCACATCTTTCCTTTGAGCTGTTACTGTCTGCCTCCTAGCATATACAGATTAATGTGCATGGGCACTCCACACAGACACACAGTCCAGAGCAAGAACAGTTCAAAAGTTCACTGAGATGTTATAAGCCATGCAGGACCCTTAGAAATGTAAGTTTCTAACATGTTGCTAGGGTTTATGCTTAATCTAGCTACTTAGGAGGCTGAGATCTGAGGATCAAGGTTAGAAGCCATGCCTGGCAGAAAAATCTATGAGACTCTTTTTTTTTTTTTTTTTTGTCGGCCGTGGGGCTTGAACTCTGGGCCTGGGCGCTGTCCCTCAGCTCTTCAGCTCAAGGCAAGCGCTCTACCACTTGAGCTACAGCGCCACTTCCGGTTTTCTGGTGGTTTATTGGAGATAGGAGTCTCACGGTCTCTCCTGCCCGGGCTGGCTTTGAACCGCGATCCTCAGATCTCAGCCTCCTGAGTAGCTAGGATTACAGGCGTGAGCCACCAGCGCCCGGCTCTATGAGACTCTTAATGTCCAGTTAACCACTAAGAAGCTGGAAGTGGAGCTGTGGCTCAAGTGGTAGAATGCCAGGCTTGAGAGGAACAGAGTACAAGGCCTTGAGTTGAAGCTCCAGTACCCCTGCAAAGAGAAATAGAGAAAGAAAAAAAAAAAGAATGAATGAATGCAGGTCTTCCATGTGAGGGAATGGCTCAAAATCCTGACTTACCTTTCTGGGAGCCAAGGTGAGCTGTAATTTTCAGATACCCAAAGCTTGTAAGAACTCTGGACTTTGTGGTTACCATTTTAACAGGAGACTGGGAAAAGGACACAGTGAACTTGGCATAATGTAAGACTATTATAGAAATCAAAACCTTTGTGTCAGTGCCACTTTTGGCTTTGGTTTGATCTCAGCCTTTTCTCCTGCTCTAAGGCAGGCATTCGATGGCGAGAGTAGCAGAGTCGCCTTGAACTTTACTTGCAAGTTTGCCTTTTTGAAAGTGACTAAAAACTTGCTTAACACTATGGTGTTTTGCTTTTATGTGACCTAAAGGAAACTGAGATTCTAAAGAGCCGGCGGTGTGGGAGACAGACTTTGGGGGTTTTGTGTTACCCAAGCAAAAGAGCTTTTGTTCTAGCTTCCCGGCTTTGGGTTTAGCAAAGGGGAGGCTGTGACCATCTGATCGGGCAGCCCCACTGGCCGCCGTGAAGTGCCTTTTCTTTTCCAAGAGAAGCTGCTTAATCTGGAATTAATAGACACCAGGAATTCAAATCTCCTGGTCTTTCTCTTCTCTCTTTGCTTTGTCAGTGGACAGACACCCGCAGAGTCAGATTTCCAGCTCCTAGAGGTGGCCCGGCGGCTGGAGATGTATGGAATCCGCTTACACCCTGCCCAGGACAGGGAAGGCACCAAGATCAACCTGGCTGTCGCCAACACAGGGATTCTAGTATTTCAGGTGAGAAGGCTGACAACGCAGTGCCCGTCCCTTAGCAAGTGAACCCCATGCCCACGGCCCATGCCGGTGCCCCTGGAAGAACTCTAGTCGCTATTTTCATGTGAACAAGAAAAAGACACCATCTCCCCTACTGTCGACTTCCACATTCTTTTGCCTTCACCCTTACTCTGGCTGGGGAATGCCATGCTACAGATTTGTTTGAGTTTACTGTCTTTGTAGAACCACAAAACTTGCATCTCTCCGTGGACTTGTGCTTAGAGTATATATAATACACAATACACTGAAGAAGATTCCATGCCAAGAATTAAACACCTTTTCACACTTCAGAGATGGCACTTTGCTGTAATGTGAAGCTTTTTCTTTCTTTTTTTTTGAATCTAACTCAGGTTAAACTAACTTTTTGGAACACTTCAGTGATACCTCTCTTTAACAAAAAAGTGTACTTTTCATAAATAGCTTTTATGAAAGCTATCTCCTTACACTGTACTAATTTTGCAGCAAAATATAAACTATACTTGTATTTACCTGTAATTTTACCTAAAGATTTTTACCTAATGATTCTCTGCCTTTTAATTTATGTAGTTTATGTTTTTTCTTTTTTGTTTGTGAGCTGGTACTGGGATATGAACTCAAGGCTCACACTCTTGCTTGGCTTGTTTACTAAAGGGTGGCACTCTACCGCTTGAGCCATGCCTCCACTTCTGGCTTTTTGCTGGTTAATTGGCAATATGAGTTCCATGGACTTTTCTTCCTGGACTGGCTTCAAATGGAATCCTCAGATCCTGAGCCTCCTGAGTGAGCGCTACCTTTCTCTGTCTCTTTAAGTGTGTGGTGGTATAATCACCTGGCTGTTGGACCACTTTGTTTTTCAATGTTCTCTTAGTAGCTACACTGAGGCGAGGCGTTACTGACATACCTCCACAGATTTCAAGCATGCAGTTTCATAGTTCTTGTGTATGTATATCTTGTGAAGGCAGCAACGAAATCAAGAGACTGCACAACCCTTTTCTGTTATGCAAAATACCTTGAGAGTAACAAAAAAGAAGCTTGTAGTTTGGGGGGGTTCTGACACAGGCCCCCCAGTAGCTTCATCAATTACCCAGTGGCAAACAGTATTACAATGGGTAGAGCACATGCAGGAGGGAGAGATCGCATTACCAAATGGAAAGCAGAAGAGCAACTCTCTTGGGAACTACAATGATCCCTACCACAATCTCCCCTCTCCCACCCCGTGACCTAAAGACCTCCCACTGGGCCCCATCTCTGAAAAGTCCTGCCGCCACCTCCCAAAATTGCCACACACACTAAGCGTCTGACTTGTAGGAGGTGCACTTGAACCTTACCCAAACCATAACAACTCCCCCGTATATTTTCACAAGACACTTCTCTTAAACACAAGCAAGGAACCTGTGCTGTCCTTTCAATGGATCTATAAAAAGCATTTGCGATTTTTGTGAAACAGGTTGAATTTCAGGCAGTGTTAAGTCACGAGCCCCATGGGTTTTGCTTCTGTTCTTCCTTCACATTTCATCAAGAGTCACAGCAATTCTCTGCTCACCAGTGGGGCGTTCGTGGCGTACGCCAAGCATTACGCCAAGCATTTAGGAGGCGCACTGGGTGGGAGGGAGTGGAATCCTGCCAGCCAGGCTGGTCCTTGAGGCAATGATTTTCCTGACCGTTTCTTACCTGGTAGTCTGCCTCTGTTAAGAAAAAATAGTGAATCCCCACATTCTTTCAAAGATACAACCCTTCCCACACTGCTGAAAATCATAAAGTGGGAAAGAGAGGGACTTGCAATTGATTTGATTGTATCTGTCACCATCTAAAATGGAGACTTGCGCAAGGCAATACCTTGGCATTAATTTTATGGCCAGCTTATAATCGAACCATTCCTCCAGGTGGGAATCCGAGTCTACCACTCTAACTTTGTTTCCTACCACTCCCCACCTGTCCGATAAACAATGGATATATGTAGTAACGGTAGCTACTGGCTAAAGCACCTCTCCCTGCCACCTTAGTCACAAATCAAAACATATCTATCTTGGGATTTATACATCTGTAAAACAAAGAAAACAAATCTGTGTCTCTGGAATTTGTCTGAGATTAGATAAGATATATACTGCCCTTAGGACGGTACCTGACACTGCACAAATGATGGCTGCTAATTACTGTGATGGTTTTATTTTTATTTATCCTCTCATTAACTTGGCTAGCTCCTTCTCTCACAGTCTTAGCACGAATGCCCAGTCATGTCATTAGTGAGAACTAATGAGCTCCCGGTACAGATCTTCCCCGTAGCCACAGGCTCTACCCATCCTCCTCAAAAGATGTTTTCCTGAGCAATTGAACAGCCTCTGCCCTCTGCCCTTGGTCCCCATGTTTCCTGCAGGTTCAGGCTCACTGGCTTCTCTCTTACCTTGTAGGGTTTCACTAAGATCAATGCCTTCAACTGGGCCAAGGTACGGAAGCTGAGCTTCAAGAGGAAGCGCTTTCTCATCAAGCTCCGCCCTGATGCAAATGTAAGTGGTGTGGGGATGCACAGGGGACCCCAGGCAGCCTACCAGTGTCAGAAGATGAAGTCTGTGCTCAGCAGGGCTTACCTGGAAGCCAAGGACAACTGCTTCCCTCAGCTTTTGCAAAGCTGGACTATGAAGCATCTGCGTGGACGATTATTTCCCAGGGCCGGTGACCTCCACTGCTGCTGTGTTTGGTCCCCCAGAGAGAGAGGATAAAATGGCTGCACATGCACGTAACTAAGGAGAGAACTCCTTCCCCTGGGTCATATGGCCTCCACACACACAACCTGAGTTACATGGTGGCTGTGTGTCCAGTCCCTGATCCTATCTCCAGATCCCCCTCGGTGTTATTGCCATACTCGGTGTTATTGCCCGGTCCACCCAGAGCAGTCCTCAGCCCTCTGGTCCCTGCTGCCGCCGCCACTTCTCCCACACAGCTGGTTCATCCTCACAGGCGACCCAGAGGTCCTCTAAAGGAGTCTCCTATGGGGGTCAGGGTCAGGCAAGAGAGTGACATGTTCACATGCTAGAAATGGCCACACAGGAGCTAGGTGAAGCGTCCCTGAAGTCCATCCCACCTGGGACTTCCAGTCCTTTTTCCCACATGGCCGTCTTGGCTAGAGTTTAGCTACAGTAGGGATTAAGCAGGCTTCCGTGGCTTCCAGAATAGGAAGCGAAACACCTGTTATAAACGGTTCTCTGAGGGAAAATGCTGTCTGTGTTCTACAGAGCTGATTTAGACAGGAAGAACAGCAGCATGCATTGTCTGTGACTTGCGTCTGCTCACGCTGTGACAGCCCCCAAAATAGTTGCAACTGCTGGGCATGTTAGAAGCTGTGGTTGCTTTTCTGTTTATGTAACATGGCCGCTGCCGCTGGGAACGCTCAGTGTAGGAGGAGAAAATTACCATATTCGCTTTCCAGAACCAAAGGACATGAATTTTTCAGCTGAGGGTGAAGACTTTTCTGTTCCAGAAAACAAAGTTTCATTTCCTACATCGTTCCTGGGGCTGCCTGGAGGCCCAGGCCAGGTGCTGTTTTACAGAGAAAGTCTAGAGGCAAAAAAAAAAAAAAAAAATCAACATTGATGGGAACCATGAGGAAGAAAATGGAAAGGAAAAAATGTGTTTCAGAAAAAAATGTGTTTCAGATATTTTAGAAGCAAGAAAAGAAAGAAAAAAAGAATTTTAGTCCTTGTATTATTTTTGTGAAGGCAATGGAAGTTCAGTCAACACATTCTTTATAAATTCTGCCAGACAACATGGTGACACTTCCGCTCCGTTGGCTCTCACTTCCTGTAGTTCCTGAGAGGAACTCTTTAAGGAAGAAGATGGCAGATAAGAAGTTACGTGTTGTCATTAAGAACACCTGTGTTTTGCAAAGACTTTGGGTCAATGGTCCTGCTGTAATAAAATTCGTGACTGAAATTTTATTGGACAAATGTATTTCTATTTTCTCCTATTTCAACAGAATGTTTAATGTTATATGTTCTCTTGCTTAGAGCTCATACCAGGATACCTTGGAATTCCTAATGGCCAGCCGGGATTTCTGCAAGTCCTTCTGGAAAATCTGTGTGGAGCATCATGCTTTCTTTAGACTTTTTGAAGAACCCAAACCAAAGCCAAAGCCTGTCCTCTTCAGCAGAGGCTCTTCATTTCGGTTCAGGTATGAATGTCACTTCACACTTATTTTTTTTTTTTTTTCGGTTGGTAATGGGGCTTGAACTCTGGGCCTGGGCGCTGTCTCCCTCAGCTCTTCAGCTCAAGGCGAGCGCTCTACCACTTGAACCACAGCACCACTTCTAGTTTTCTGGTGGTTTATTGGAGATAAGAGTCTCAGACTTTCCTGCACAGGCTGGCTTTAACCGAGATCCTCAGATCTCAGCCTCCTGAGTAGCTAGGATTACAGGCGTGAGCCACCAGTGCCAGGCACTTCACCCCCCCCCCCCCCTTTTTTTTTTTTTTTGGTTGTGGGGCTTGAACTCTGGGCCTGGACGCTGTCCCTGGGCTCTTCAGCTCAGGGCGAGCATCTACTTCTTCAGCCACAGCACCACTTCGGTTTTCTAGTGGTTTATTGGAGATCAGAATCTCGCAGATTTTTCTGCCTGGGCTGGCTTTGAACCATGATCCTCAGATCTCAGCCTCCTGAGTAGCTAGGATTACAGGCATGAGTCACCGGCACCTGGCCACTTCACACCTATTTGTTTGTTGTATGAACCTTTATTTTTGAGTCTTCCTTAAGACCTATCACAGCTGCTATGACAGACATTTACTGTTAGCACCTTCAAGATCCATATGGAAATCTACCCAGCATAGTCAATTCCTGACATGAGACTCTAGATGATTTTTTTCCCCAGTAATGGGGGGATCAACCCAAGGCCTTGCACATGCTAGGCAGGTACTCTACCACTGAGCTACACACCTAACCTAATTCAGAAAAGAATTTCTTTCTATGGAGGAGAACAAAAGTATCTTATTTATACTTGATGTTGCTTCATAGAATGATATGGTTTACTTTTCCATCCCTTTTGCAAAAGTACCTGTCTACCTTTGTGAAAGACAGGGAGATTGTTAGACTCTTCCTCACCAAACCCAAGTTCTAAATGGGTTTTGTTAACTGTTTTATCTGCTATATGAAGATACGATGAAAAGACTAAATCCAAGAATGGGTTCTCTCAGGACTGATTTTCTTCCTGGATAGCTATGAAAACCCGCATCTCTCAGGCGTGGAGGGAAGGGAAGTGGAGGTGACGAAGAGTTGTGTTTGTGGCTCTAAATGAGGGTGCCTTGGTATGTCCTTCCCTTTCCTCTGCTGGTCTTCATTTCAGTGGTCGGACTCAGAAGCAAGTCCTCGATTATGTTAAAGAAGGAGGGCACAAGAAAGTGCAGTTCGAAAGGTAAGAGGTGCTTCCATGCTAGATCCATTCTCTAGGTAGCTGTGTGTGTGTGTGTGTGTGTGTGTGTGTGTGTGTGTGTGTGTGTGTGAAGTGCTGAGGTTTGCGCTCAGGGTCTTGCATTTTCTAAAGAAGTGCTCTTACCGCTTGAGCCATGCCCCCAGCCCTGGTCTGTTGGGTCACAGTTTACAGTGCCTGGTGCAGAGGGCTCAGCAGGGCCTCAGATTCCTGACCTTCGTGGTGATACAGCACACTGCTGACTGCTGGTGTCCCTTTGGCACTAGGCACAGGGGACTTGGCTGATCTTTAGAACAGCCATCACTCCTGCACCATGCAGATGTTAGAAAAGATACCCTTTCCCTTTAAAACCACTTGAGCTCTCTACCATTTCTCTTAGAAAACACAGCAAGATTCATTCCATCAGGAGCCTGAGTACGCAGCCCACAGCACTGAATTCAGAAGTGCCAAAACAGGTCAGTATAGTGATAGACGATTGTAACTGTTGGTCCCCCACTTCCTCCACTGAGTCATGATTCCCTCCGTTTGTCACAGGCGAGTGTCTGACGATAGGCCGACCTCACCTAGACAAGGGTTTACGCATCAAGCCTGGACACAGCAGGGCCTTTCTCAGCTGACATTCTATATTCTAAGCCCCTGACAAGTTTGCTCTATTGGTCTTGAACTTAGCTTCGAAGTAAAAACATCTGCCAAAGCCAGGAGAACTGATCCCACATTTGGCTAGGTAGATCTGCTGTGTGTAGAGATAAGAACCTGCCTTGTAGCTGCTGGGTATAGTGCCTGCTGAGTGCCAGGGTCAGAAGCCTTTCACTGACACCAAGCTGGGCAACAGGTTCCCAGGGCTTACGTGATGGGCAGTGAGCACACTGGCTGCAAAATGTGTTCTCTGCCCTCACCCTGAGGGCAGCCAAGTATTGTCCCTGGAGGCGTTCACTGAGTATGTTTTCAGGACGTCCTCTTAGAAAGAATAACTTTGTTGAGGAGCACGTGAAGGTGGTTTTATTGTGCAGATCCAAAAAGATTCCTTCATCTGTCGTGCTAAGAAGAATAGAAGCAGAGAAGCTGTGCATCGTCTGGGTGAAGGCTGTGTTAAGTTGAGTCGGTGGGTGGTGTGTTGGGTGTTTCTGGGTGGGGTTTGGATTTCAGCTCAGGACCCTGAGCTTACTAGGCAATCCTCTGCCCGTTGAATTATGCACCCAGCACTTTTCACTTTAGTTATTTTTCTCAAAGAGTCTGCATTTTGCCCAGTCTGGGCTCAACTATAATCCTCCTATTTGTGCTTCCTAAGTAGCTAGGTTGACCAGCATATGCTACCATGCCCAGCCCTATTGGTTCCCAGATCTCTATTGGTTCTTGGGAAAAAAAACTTATTGTTCAGCATCCCCTCCAAGTATGATCCTCCCAATTTCTGCCTCCCAACTAGCTATGATGACAGATGTAAACCACTTTCCCTGGCTTGTAATGGATTTTCCTTCTCTCCCTTCCCATGCATGCTTGGGGAAGCCCCCTGTGGGCAAGAAGGACTGTCTGGTTCCGCAGAAACATGGGGAACCCAGTCTGACATGGAGGATTCTAGAAGGCAGAGATGGTGCCTTCTGCTGCTGGGGGCCCTCCCTGAAGGAACCTTCTGGATCATGCAGATGCCCATCCATGACTGATGCTTATAAGAGTGCCTTGTTCCAGGAGGAGGCCAGGGCCGCCTCCATCCGCCGGTCCTTGCAGAGGTGTTAAGTTAGATGCTGACTTGTGCCCCGCTAGCCCAGCTCAAGGATAACCATCTCCCTTTTCTCTTCATCTCCCTCCATCCCTCTCCTGGCTCCCTCGTCCAGTCTCCACAGAACACCAGCCTTGCTTGTGGAGATGGTGCCGAATCGCCCAGTGCCCAGAGCTACCAGCGAACAAAGGAACTGAAAGCGTCTGTGGAAGAGCCGGGGCTGCAGCAGAGCCCTGCTGGGAGCAAGCTAGCCGACGGGGCCGCCACAGGGCCGCTGGAGGAAGAAGAAGAGGAGGAGGGCGGCCAGGACGGCCTGCAGCCGAGCAAGCCTGCGCCCCCGCAGCCGAGCACAGGTCCAGCATCCCGGGCTGCTGGCGGCAGCAGCACCTCCATTCCTTTCATTGACTGCAGTGACGTAGATAGCGAATACGACCTTCTCAGAGAACAAGCATCCCAATCCCGGTCCCAAACAAATGACAATTATGAGGGTGATGTGACCAGTGGGGTGTACCTGCTCTCCAGAGACGAGAGGTCACAGGAGGCTAGGCACAGGGCTTCCCCTCCCTCCGCCAAGTTCTCCCCACCTTCTTCCAGAGAGTTCCTTGATGATGATTCAGCAGACATTACGTTTGATATGAGCGGGAGCCCAGGCCTCCCAAGGCATAGCTCCCTGATAGAGGAGATGTTCCGGGCCTCGGCTGCACACAGCCCCTTGGAAACGCCACTGTCCCCCGGCAGCAGAAGTTCAAGTCCAAATATGAGCTGGGACAGGACTGGGTCCCAAGGCTATGGCTCCGAAAATGGACATGACCTTAGAGATAGGAGTGTGGGAGAAGATACTCTCACAAACCGGGGTCCCCACTCTGAACACTGCTCCCCCATCTTACAGAGGCCGTATTTACGGACTCTCCCCAGCAGATACAATAAGTCAGAGACAGATCCACTCATCCTTAGCCAAGTAGCCTATACCCCAGAGGCTCTCGATAGGCTTGAGGACCATGAAAAGGGAGGACCGGCCCCTGTGGCTGCGTCTGAAGCTGGGGTGCTGATCAATGGCACGCCTCTCGCACAGCCCGCATGTCCCAGCGGCCTGGCAGGCCAGCTGGCACCCTTGCAAATGACCGAGGGCTCCACTAGCAGCGGGACTGAATCCAGTGATTCAGACTCTGCTCTGGTGAGCCCTTTGGGCCAGTCTCTGGCATTTGCTCCCACCGCAGGCCTGAGCTCCCCTTGCATGCAGAGAAGTCAGAAGGCCCTGGGGGACCTGTGCCTGCCTGAGGAGAGAGAGGAGGATGCGTGAAGGGCCTGGCAGGCAGTGGTCAGCTGTTGCTTCCCTGAGATCAGGAGTCCAGGCTCGTAGCAGAGATGATCTGTTCTAGAGACGTGTTCATTTTGTTGTCGGCATTTACTGGAGGGAATTTTGGATAGGCACATGTTTGGATAGAGTAGGCCTGACTTCTAAAACCTTTACGAAAAGCAGAGCACAGGAGTGACTCGCTTTCCCAAAAAGATGGTCCATAGACTAACAGCAAGTCCCAGTGACAGCTTCCCAGGAGCTCGTTTCTTTTATTGGTTGACAGCTAGGAAGAAATACTTTATGATGAATCTGGGGATGTGTACAGTGTGTTATATTTCCATGGCAATTTTCTGTGACTGTCCAATGATGTATGCAGATCCTTTTTTCCTGTTGGGTAACTGTTTGAAGTGTCTCAGATCTCAGCAAAAGCCTTGGCTTTGCCTTCCTTGTCCCTTCTTTAAAAGGAGGGCTGCTTTTCTGTGTCTCAAAGAGTGAGGCGTGAAAAGTTCAAGGCCAAAATGTACATTGATTGCTAGTTGAGACTGTGTTCGTGAACTCGTACTCCAGATAGTGAATATTTAATGAGCATTTGGGGTTATTTCCGTGTTTCAGGTGAAATGCTGGAGAGATGGTTAAATCTCCACAAATGGTAAGGTTTCCCGTGGGGTTATTGGTGTAATTTGGGTTTGCATTGGTGAATCAGATAGCTCTGCTTTAAAAAGTCATCCCTCGGGATGCTCCGGGACAGGTGGGGAAATGACTCTTCACCATAGGCTACTAACTGCCTGCCTACTAGGCCCGCAGCGCAGGGTCATTGCCCCACATGACTTCTGTGCATTCTCTTATAAACAGTGACACAAGACTGTTTCCCTGGGCAGCCCAACAAGAAATTCCAAGTCATAAAAGCCGACTTCTTTTTAGACTTTGCACTCTTTGGTCGGTGCCTGTCACTCAGTATCCTCTGCTGTAGATCCAGGAGCCTGGTTTGAGCTCACACTGGGTGTCTTAGCTGAATCCCTGGGGAAATTAGTTGCTGCTTGGTGCTAGCCCTAGAGATTTTGATCTGTTGGCCTAGGTTCCCGCGGGAATCCCCAGATGGCTTTTCTAGTAGCCCAGGTTTACTTCACATGCTGACCTGAGTGCCTCATAAGGACCAGTGGTGAGAAGGGAGAGCTGGATTCGTTGGCTTGCTTGCAGTTTGAGGAGGGCGTGACAATGGAAGCGCTTTTATCTTTCAGTCTTGTTCTTTGTACTTTCCAGTCTTTGGTACTTTTGTAAAAAAAAAAAAAAATTGTAGAACAGATATTTTTTAGATCTTAATTAGTGGCAAGATGAACCATTCCTGCCAGTAGTCTTACAAGACTCAGGCCATGATGGCATCACAGAGGAAGAACTGGCATGTGTAGGAAGCTGGGTAGAATTCAGGAGAAAACAAAGCAGAAGTCCTGGCTCACCTGTGCTTCCCAGAGGATCATTTGTCCACATGAAGGTCCAGAGGTCGGTTTAGAAATTCAGAAGACTTAGTCCATTTTTATATAAGCATCTTTGTTTTATTTCCCCTAATCTTTTGATTCAGTGCATGGGTAATGAATCAAACTGATTATCGGATAGTTTTTGAAAGTTGTTTGTTGAAGTATATTTATCTCCTGCTTTATTTATAAACTCAACCGAATTTTAGAACTAGAAGGAGACCTTGTAAGTTATTTAGATAAACCTTCATTGGGATGAGAAAACTTGTTCTGACAAAGTGAAGTGACTTTGCATGGTATATAGCTGTGCACAGTGATGCTGAAACTACTTGGTAAGATCTTGGTGCAATAGGACATTGTAGAATGTACATTTTAATTTGAGAGACTTGTCTGTATGGCTTAACAATTAAGTCAGACCTGAAGACCATGGCTCACGGACACAGATAACTACAAGCCATAGAAGGTGAGAAGGACTGCTCTTATGTTGTTGGGGTTTGTGGTTGTCGTATGTCTCCGAGGATTAGACTTAGGAGAGATGTCAGTTTGCTATGTGAATGCTTAGTCAGATGCAAGCTAAGCAAAGTGAAACTTGAAATCCTGTTATTTAATTGTAAAAATGGCTTGTTCAAATGATTGTTTCTTTTCCTATAATTTTATAGTAGTCTGATAATTAAATATGAGTGAATACTGCATATTAACTTATAATACAATATGAATCATCCAATGTTAACCTCCAAAGCAAAACATACACCAGTAGTTCTTGTGTTTTGCTTTTTCTAATGCAAGTAATTTTAGCTAAAACATGTTAGTAGCAGTTAGTCATATGTGCTCAGTTGTACTCTGAGCCGAGTTCCTACTTTTAGGGTTGCATATAAGACTTTTTTTTTTTCCCCTGTTAGTTTTGTCCCATTAATGCAATTCAGTTTGTACTTCTTGGCCAGTGTTTATAAACGTGGCAGTCCTGTATGATTAATAGTGCTTACAAGAGTAGGGGCATCATTTAAGGCCTTGTGTCCTAGTGCTGAGACTAGTCATTACTTGTCACTAGGAGACTTTGTCCCATGCTCACAAAGATTCTAGAACATTGGCCAGAGAGCATAGGAATGTCTGCCTGCTTAGGGCCGGGTGATCGCTCCTGCCATCACTGTGGAGTTCAGGAGAAGCCAGGGATGTTTGTCAACCCATCTTGCATGTTTTGACTTTTGGGGAAGACTCTAGTCCCCAGGCCCCTTAACCTGGGACTGTAGAGTCTCACTGTGTGACTTAAGAAAGGACCACACACATGCAATAGTGAATTAACATGAAGAAAGGCCAAGGTAGACAATAGAAACTGATGACACATTCAGTTTGCAGTGGCTTCCTAAGACCTGAAAACCAGTCTTTCTAGGGCAGTAGTCCATTGTCTACTGATTCAATAAGAAATCGGGCTTTCAGATCCTGTGTGCTCGCTGCTCTATACAAACTATATCAGAAGGCCATGGATTGAGAACAGAACCTATACAGAAACAAATACCTTGAAGTCAACTGTAGTTACTTCACAGCCTCTTCTATTAATATCTCTTATTGGATATTATTTTAAAATATGTGAAGCATAGAGCCTTTCATGGTTGCTTTTGCTGTTGCTTGTTAAAAAACAAACTAGAAAGGAATTTTTGTAGCATGAAGAAATGTATTTAATGAGTTCCAGAACTTGGAGGGCTCCGGCCTCCTCTGCTGTGCATCTGGACGCCATTGGTGGTGTTTTATTAGACAGCCATTTAATTAGAGGAAGTCTGGGGGCCATATTTTCCCCTCCGTGTGCGATTTGTATTAGAGAGATTCTCACAGATTTATCTCACCAAAAGTTGTGCTGTGTGGCCTACACTTAAAACGTGAATAATAACCATTTTCTTCTCAAGAACTTCTTGGAGGATTCAAATCAAGCAATGCCAAAAAAACAAAAACAGTAACAGTCCCTCATTCCCACCAAGCACACAGCGTCCAGCCTGTCCTGAATTTACCTTGTGTGTTAGCCCTGAAATTGCTCCAGTTGTGCAGTTAAGCATTTCTATTAGGGAGAGGAAATTTTAGATAGTTAAACTGTCATTTTCTTTCTTTCTTTTTTTCTTTTTTTGACAGTTGTGGGGCCTGAACTCTGAGAAGCTTAGGGTGCTGTCCCTTAGCTCTTCAGCTCAAGGCTAGCGCCATATCACTTGAGCCACAGCACCACTTTCGGCTTTTTCTGCTTATGTGGTGCTGAGGAATTGAACCCAGGGCCTCATGCATGCAAGGCAAGCGCTCTACCACTGAGCCACCTTCCCAGCCCTTTTTTTTTTTTTTTTTTATTGTGAAAATACTGTACAGAGGGGTTACAATTACATGAGCAAGGTAATAAGTACATTTCTAATCAAGCATTGTTGCCTCCTCTGTTTCCCCTTACCATCCCTTCCCCCCGAAACTGCCATTTTCAACAGTAGTAAAACTACTGTCAGCGAAGGGAGAGATTCCATTTTCATCATGAGACTCAGCAGTCATAGCTTTGAGTGAATGTTTGCTATTGACATTATTCCATGTTTCAGACATCAGTGTTGTCAATTGTAGCGTCACC